GCTCGGGGTGCAGCGAGAGCTCCCGCCGCTGCCGCGCACAGCCCACGCACCAGAGGCTCCGCCCGCCGGTGCACAGCCCTGGGCTTCCCAGAAGACAGTGGGGCGCAGCAGTGGGGGGCGGGGCTCGCCTGGCCGCAGGGGCTCAGTCGCCGGGGTCCAGTACAAGGAAGGAGGTCTTCAAACGCAAGAGGACACGCGCCCAGAAACTGCAGTACGTCAGCCTCTGGGCACCAGCTCTCCGGCCCTGGGGGGCCTGGCCAGCCTCTGCCCCTCCGCGTCTCCCCAACGCACCTCGGGGCTGTCCCTGCCTTCACGGCAGAAGTTGCCGTGACCCCGCTCCCTCCAGCGCCCCAAGTCTCAGGGTCCCCGGCCATACGCAGTCCTCTCTACGTACCCGGTTGCTTCTGAACAGTGCAGCACTCGGGGACCTTGCTGTGGCCGGTTTTGCCCCGGGGGAAACCGCTGCAGCTGGGGCGGTCGGAGGCCCACCTGCCCCCCACCCCCCCTGCGCCGCTGTCCCCCGGCCAACACGACGCCCCGGGCAGTCCTAGGAGGCCCCCGCCTGCGGGTGGCGCACGGGGCCTTTGCACCTGTGCGCCCTGTGTGCCCACTTGGGGTTTCCCGTCACAGCTGGCGCCACGCCCGCCCGCGCCTGGGGCCCCTGCAGGGTCCCCCACCCCACCCTCCCTGGCGTCCTCCCAGCGTGTCAGTCACCTGTGGTGACGGCGTGTTACCTGCCCCTGGGAGACCGTGAGATGACGTGGCATGGAGCAGGCGGACCCGCACCCCGGGCAGCCGCATCCTCGTAAGAAGGGACACGGGGACCCCACAGAGACCGTCGGGCAGAGGCAGCGGGGGCCCAGGACCAGCTCCCCGCCGTCACTGGACTCCAGGCCCGGAGCCCCAGAACTGCCAGACCACGCATTTCTGCCCCTTCAAGCCCCCCTTGGGGCGCCGGCAGGAGCCCCCCAGAAACCATGCAGGGGTTAGTGGTGTAAAATACTGCCCGGCGCACCGACCCCACTGGGGGCGCTCGCCCAGCCGCGGGGGCACCCACGCTCCGCCCCTGCCGGAGGCAGCCCTGCTGGGGGGCCTTCCCACCTCGCCCGCCC